CCCCCCACCCCTTCCCCCCTGTTTTCTGACTGAGCCCTTCAAACACCCTTTTGCTAAAATGGTTTACATTTGAATCTCTAATGTTTTCATTATCATAATTAGCTCACTGTTTTTTGTTGTTGTTGTTGTTGTTGTTTTTAAACCACTGATTGATCAGTAAGTTCTGAAGGAAACATTAAATGGGTGTGTCCAAAGAGAGCAGGTGGGCTTCACCCTTTATTCCTTCTAGGTGCCTTTTGCTTATGGTTTTGTTGACAAAAGACAGAATAAAGCATTCTACTTAACCTTACAATTCAAATTCAAACAGTTCCTTTGTTCCTTTTCCAACTTTTTCAAAGCTCCTCTTTATAGAAATCAGCTGCTTCTCAGTAAACTGATATTTCTCATTATTGAAGATTTCTTTTTCAAGGGTGTCAAAGATTGCTCCTGTTTCAATATCTACATGAGAGAGACACCAAGCAAATTGCTGTATATCTCTTTCACTAAAATCAGACAATTCCTTGGCTAAAAGTGAAGAACATAAAAGTTGGTAAAACTTTTTGCTTCCTTTGTTGGCCTCAACAAATCCTTGCAAGAGCAACAGTTTTTCTTCTTTATAAAACACACTGATGCCACGCTGAGATACTACGGCTTCAATTGAGTCAAAGAGCCCACTATCTGACTTCTCTGTTTTTGCCAGACACCATGCAAGCTGGCATAACTGAGTACTTGCAATTTGTTTTACACTCCTAATGCACAACACGTCCTCAATTTCACTGATTAATTTGTCATCATGTCTCTGAGCAGAAAAGAATGAAAGTAGGATCAACACAAGTTCATGTGTGTGGAGTGTTTGAACACCACGTTGAAACAACTCATCCTTGACAACATCAAATATCGCTCCTGAAAAATGTCTCTTACTGAAACTCCAAACAATATCCAAGATTTCAGCATTGCTTAAATGCGTCACACCCACGGAGGCAATTTTATGATCCAATGACTGGAAAAATTCCTTGCTACCTTTCTCAGCTTTCCCAAATGCCCATAGAATTTTAACAAAATCAGTTTTGTTTAGATCCATCATGTCTCTGCTTATTACTTCTGCCTCAACTTTGTCAAACAGTTCATCAGCTTCCTGTTCCTTCTTTGCAAATGACCAGACAAACTCTGCTATAGGGTGACTGTTCATTGAAGTCATGTCTCTTGACAGAAATTCTTCCAACAAAGCTTCAAATAACTCTACAGAACCATTACCAGCTATGGCAAATGAATATAATATCCCAGACAGATGATGATCCGCAAGATCGCTAATTTTAACATCACCATTTAAAATGGCTTGTTCAAACTTCGGAAATATTGGACTTTTTGTCATGTTGAGGTTTGCGCATCCATTCAAAATCTGAAAGATGTTTTCATTGTTAAAAACTGACATGCCACAAGACAGGATCTTTTTCTCACAGAGTTGGAACAGTTTTTTATGTTTTTCTCCATTCATTCCTAGGCTCCACATCAAAACAGCAAGATTCTGAGGTAGGCATCTGTGTAGTTTCTCCAAAATACTATCCAGTAATTCAATATAGGCATTACTTTTCTCTTGTTTCAGAACCTTCTTCTGTTCTTTATCTTTTTCTATGATCTTTGCAATATTAAAGAGTATAGCGATGCGATTCACAACATCAGTCATATATTTAACCTCCATGAGAAAATCAAGTTGCTTGTCAACTGTTTCCAGTGCATCAATTTTTCTCTCAATGATCCTTTTCACCTTGGTTGGACGCAGGGACTTGAGATCTGTTGAATATTCCAAGGCTGGAGGAAACACTAAGACACTTTTACTGTCCACTGATACTTTTCTAACTCTGCTTGATGCCCATGAAGCACTGAATATAACACTGAAATTTTGGTATGCCCGTGCAGACAACTTGCGAGTCATCCATGGAAGCACAAACTGGGGTCGAAAATGTGAAGTCAGAGTTCTCATTCCAAAGAAACCAAACATCCACATTTTTTATCACCTCTTAAAATCATCAGCATATCATATATCAATTATTCTGAAAAAAAAAGAGGATTCACAAATAAATGACTTATAATGGAGAAATAAATTACCTTATTTTTTTCTCAGTTCGTGAGTTGATGGTATTCTTCAAATCCTGCAATCTGATTGGTTCTGAGAGCAGGCAGTATTCACCCCATCTGGCCCGCTCACAGTGGGCAGTATTTATTTTGCTTGAGTCCCTTTGCAGAACATCTCTACCTTTGTTGCAATTTTTCACAGATTTATCTCATTTTGCCAGCTGGGCAGAATTTTTGAGCAGACTTCAGTTATGACCTTTTGGCAATACATAATATAAATTCTTTCTTTTCTCAAATCACTTTGGTTTTTTTGGCAAAAATTATTTCAAAATAAATTTTGTGGTACTACATTTGTTTATAAAAAGATTGAAACGCGGCCTAGAAACAATTTGTTAATTAATAATCCTTTACAAAAAGTAACTCAGAAAATTAAAACGAGAGATAGATGCAGTTAATGACTACATTAATTAATGTGACTCACAATCGTTAATACCTGAATTCTTAAACACAATTTGTTCATTTTTGAAACGTTGAGCAAAGTTTTGAGTTCTATAAATACTCTTTCGCCTATCCTTTGCAATTCCCTTGAATTCGGACATTTCAACTGAGAACTTCATAACAGTAACAAAGGAATTCAATGAACAAAAGTCGCATTAAATCCCATTGTGTCTAGCTGGAAAGAGTCTCGTTGACTTCAGCTTTTCAGTGGAAGAAAAACCAATTTACACGCACCATTACAGAAAACAAACAAGCAGACTGACAACTCCAAAGCACACATTTGCATTCACCCACAATTTGACTTTCCGTGACATTTTAAGATGGAACAGAGGAAAATCTTTGAAGATTAATTGTCATTGGAAATAAACAAAACGTTTCCTAAGATCTCTGAGTATTTATGTTTTTACAAGAAGATCGTTGCGTAGTCATTTAGCTTGCGAGTGTTTGTCATACCAGTACTGTTGTTTACTTAAATGCATACACTTTTTCTCTTCAATTGACAGGTGTCACATCATGACAATTACCTATCAAAAAAGTTTCAAAGTTTCCTCAGAGGCCTTTTAAGTTACCTTTACAAATAAAAATGTTTCGGTGAAAGCTTTCTCTTTTTCTGTTGTTTTTTTGGGATAACGTCTGTTATCTTTATCATCCACTCGCTAATAAATTGTTAAGTTAATGGAGGATTTTCCCATAATTAAACTCGTAATTGTAGCCCTACATCATTTGAGTTCTTATAGCGATCATTTTTTTATGTGTAAGAAAAAAATAAAAATGTTATTGACTAGCATAAGTCGGTTCGTATTGGGAAAAACTGTGCCCGAGGTCTTGGATACCGCCCGAGGCCGTGGGCCGAGTGTGGTACTCAAGACAGTGGGCACAGTTTTTCCCAATACGGACCGACCTATGCTGGTCAATAACATATATATATATATATGAAATACCCTGCCAGCTTTTCAGGGCCCAGTTAATAAAACATGGAAATTGGAGTTAGTTACTATCAGCACGCCTCGCTCTTGGAGGTTTCGAGGTTTGTTTGTTGAATTTAAATAAGTATTTGTCTCAAGATGAGTCTAAAGTAATTCATAATACCTTTTATCATGAAAGCTGGAATAGTAGAATAAAGGGTCCCAAATTTAACGCATATCAGTAACATGTACCTAGTTGTAGATGAGTACAGTGCAACCGCCATCTTGAATGTGTGCTTAGTGACCGCTTACTATAAAATGCCCAGCCACCCTCCCGCCCCCCTCCCCGCTCCGTTCCCACTTACCACGTCTGTCACGGAAGGAAAATTTCGTTGAAATTTTAAGACAAATTGGAATCTTTCCCTAACCTAACTTCAACCTGAACGACTCTCTAAAGTGAGATCAAATGTATATATTTTTCCAATGAACGATTTTGTAAGATGAACTCGAGCAGACTGATGCAAAACTGGTTAACATGCAGGGAACAAACTGTGGTAGTCGATGGCACCTCGTCGAATCCTGCTCACGTATCGTCGGGTGTGCCTCAAGGAACTGTGTTGG